CCTCCTTTGCAGCCCCATTTCCGACTCCTCCTACAATCAGTTACACTTGCCAGGACTCTCATACCCTCCCAGCTTTACTGGGCTGCCATCATTAGTCTGGGCAGATATGGCCCCATGGCATGGAGCCAATCAACTCCAAGCTCTCACACAGGTGCTATAACTCAGGGGACCAGCCCCCAGTTACATCTTGGGTAGAAAAGCCACTCCCTTCTTCCTGGCTCAAAGCATGGCCACAGCTATTTAACATATCTATGAAACCAGTTAAAGGTTATAGATATGTTAAATAATCATTCTAGAGGTTAGCTGCATAACTGTTGCTATGCAAAACAGCTCGCAATGGCCCTGGCTCTATTTGTCCCTTTTCCCTGTGGGGGGAGGACATCTTAATATTTCCTGGTCATCCTGAACTCTGGACCCCATCCCAAATCCTTTTCTGGGGCCCCCCCTCTTGGCTGCACCCTGTTACAATTCTTCATATGCCCTGAGAAAGCAAGCAGATAGTACACAAATGTGTAAATAATTAGATTACCGAATGTCATTAATGTTTTGAATGAAACAAATGGGTTGCTAAATTGAAGAAGAGTAAAAGGATACTTTTTCCTTGTGAGGTCAGAAAGGGCTTGGCCCCTTTGCATGTGTGTTTAAGCTGAGGCCTAAAGTCGGAGAGGAAGGTAGCCAAGCAGAGCACCTGGGGAAGGGTGGTCCATGAAGACGAAACAGCAGGCACAGAGGCCCTGGGACAGGAAAAAGTCAGCTCCGTGGGGGTGTCTCCAGAACCTAAACCAGAGCCTGCCACGCAGCTGGTGCTCCATCAGTATTTGCCAAATGAATAAGTGAATTATTAGAACCAGGCCACGGAAGTTAGGAAGCAAGTTAGAAGAGAGGTGAGAGATGGGTAGAGGCCAGGTCATAAAGGAACTTTTAAGTTATGGGCAAAATGTCTGAATTAACCAATCCACTCTGCCCTCCCCTCATCCCCGCACCTGCTCAAACCCTGACTCGAAGCAGCAGTTCTTAAAGTGTGACCCGTATATCCCTGATGATCAGTCTTATCATTTGACGTCTGTATTCTTTAATGTGACAAGAGCATGCTTTCATCCATGAATTCATTGTTAATGAATATGTAAATTATAATAATGATGCATTAATTGCTGTGACAATTTATTTAAAAAGCAGCTGTTCGTTCACTCAAGTCTAATCGAAAGCAGCCCCACCCTTCCCATGCAGTCTGGGAAAGGCTTCCTAGCCACAAAGGGAAGAGACAGTCCCCTGAAAAATCACAGAGCAGCTGATCCTGAATCCCTGGAATGCAGCAACTTCTAAAGCAAAGGCAGTGTCATTACACAGGATAAATAGGTTCAAAAGAAGTTGAGGAATTCCAAACGAAGATGAGAACAGAGAAAAAATGAGTCACTGTATTTACACTTTGTACAGTAGTTTCAAATAAACTTGCAAAAAAGATGATTTCTGGCAGCTTTTCCTAGTCCCATATTGCCTTGAATCCACTACAATTCTCATTAATTTTTAATAATAGTTTAAGTGCTTTTAAAAGGAAAAATGGAACAATAAAATCCTGAATTTAAACTTTCCCTCATTGTTTCATACTTTAATTCTTATGGGTTATTTATGACCCACTAACTTTGGGGATACCCTTTGAGGCTTAAGATTCTCCCTCCAACCCCCCCCCCAAAAGAACTGGCAGTTACATACCTTTTGAAAAGAAATGTCCTTGATGACTTGTCCTTTCCTTCATGTATTGCTATGAGTCTTCATATGATTGCTATTAAAATAGATAAAAGACAACACATGGTTCTAAACGTATCATTTCTCTTTCAAAGATCAAAAATAAAATAATTATATATAAAGAAGTCATTTATTCTTTTCCAAATTCCTATTTACAAGGCATTATTAGCAGCTCACTGTTAGTAACAGGGAACTTGGAAGTGTCTAAATGGGCCATGTTGTGAGGATGCTTTGCCATTGCTTACCTGATTAATCCTCTTCAAATGTTGCTTTTGGGGCATTTGCCCACACAAAAGGGACAATTATAAAAAAGGATTGGTACAAAGTATATTGGAAATAAAAACAATTTAAGCATTAACTTAAAGGGTACAGTTAGTTGCTGGTGTGTGCAATAGTATTTTTTAAAAGATGCTTGCAAAAACTTGGAGGATATAGGATCTACCGAAGATTTTCTCAAATAACAAGAGTATTTAATATGTTTAGATAAGAAGATTCCAAACCTGAACAGCAATTTATGAGAAAATTTTAAACCTCAATAGAAAAAACGACAAAGATAGGCAGAAGTTAGGAAAACGTAACCTCTGTGAAGGATAAATTTGCAAAAGAGCAAAAACAGTGATTCAGATGCAGTCTATAACTAGGCAAACTGACACTCATACAGCACATTAAAGTTTGCAAAGGTGCTTTAACATATGTGATTTTGTTAACTTTCATAATAGCTCTGGGAAGTATTTAGAGTAAGTATGATTCTAGTTTTACAGACAAAAAAACCAGATTGTCTTCTGAATACAGGGAAGGGAAGGTAGGGGGGAAAGGGAAGGAAAGGGAAGGGAGGAAGGGAAGAAGGAGAGAAGGAAGGAGGGAAGGGAGGAAGAAAGGAAAAGGCAGGAAGGCTGAAAAGAAAGAAAACTGAAAAAAAGACCCCTGGAAAGGCTGAAGGGAGCCTATAGGCTTGCAGTATCTGGAGGGGGGCATTTTTGATGGTGCAGAAAGGCATGCCAAGCTGTGAAAGCCACTGAACTTGGGGGTGAGGATAAAATATTGAGGTCACTCTTTTCTAAGACAAGTGACTTGAAGAGTGAAGTAGGAAAGATTCATTTTTTTCCAGAAATATACACATGTTTTAAGTTTGACCTTTGAGTGTTTGCTAACTTGAAAAGGAGACCTCTGACCTGGCGGCAGAGTGAAAGCTCCTGAATCCTGAAGGAGTGAAAACATGTTTTTTCATTAAGAGGTTAAAAACATCACACATTTTCTAAAAAAAAATAATTTTTACTTTTTTCCATTTTTTCCTGCTTTTTCTCAAAGTACATAACATTCACTATAGTAGCCAAAATATAGCTTTATATATACACAACTATTTGAAAAGAAGGGAATGTGTCATCTTTTCTGTTGATTTGGCTCTGGAGTATTCTGACCTGAAAATTAAAATGTGAAGTCTCATCTCTTTTGGAAGTTGTCAGGAGTGGCACCACCAAAAAACAATCAAAGATTATAAAAGTTATTGCAGTATTATGCCATTACCACCTGCTAATTGTACAATTAAACACTTTTGCTCTTTGGTTGTGGGAGACTGTTTTAAAATCTATTTTCAGGTACATGATCATTCACATACTGAGGCAGTTGCTTGAAAAGCATAAAATTAGTCCTGAAAAACTAAATAAATTCCATTTTTTGGTAATATGTGAGGGGGCTGAGCCATCAATGGTATCTTCCATAAGCCAGAGTTTTTCTTTCTTTCTTATGTTCCTTGGACAATTAGGAATGAAATGGCTTTAACTGGATGACCAGTGATAAACTGCTTTGCCTGCAGGTTGAACAATTGATGGGGCTCTTATTTGTTCTCTGTTAGTACCAGTTGTTTAAGATTTAAGGGAGGACACAGACTTTTACTGGAGAGAAAGGGGGAAGTGAATGGAAAAAAAGAAATAAAGGTCAAGTTGACAATGGACAAGATCCTTTGTGGGCCTTTTTCTCTCGCTGGTGTCAGGAGGATGCGTTCTGGGACAAATGAATGCTTAGAGGTGAGAAGGGCAAAAGCACTCTAATAAAAGTCTTCAGGAAAGAGTGTAAACGACCTAGGGAAATCTGCTGTGGTTATGTTTAATCCTGGGAAAAGAGGCCCTGGAGAAAGCAGATGAGGAAGATAGGAAGGAAGACGGGGAGGGGGAGGCACTGGGCGTGGAGGGAGGAAGGGACAGGGGTCGGGGGCTGGAAAGTGAGAAGGGGCGAGTACTGACTGTGGCTAAGGACAGGGTTGAGGACCACAGAGTGGGAAAAAGTGAAAGTCAAGGGGAGGGGAAGGAGGAGGAGGAAGCGGAGTTCCTCGGACCCAGAGGGGACCCCTGGCCTGGGAGAGGGCTGCGCGGGGCAGCCGGGGTGGCTTGGCCCGCCTCGGGCCCCCTTGGCAGCCTCAGGCGTTGGCTCCTCTGAGCTCCCTCCCTCGCAGGCGCATTGTTCCTTTGCCGGGAGACGAGGAAATTGCCTTTTGATTGCGGAAGTCCGCGGACCGGGCGCGGGGCGAGGCAGAACGGGTCAGAATGGCAGCGTGGGAAGGGCGGCCCGCTGCCTGTCCCCTTCGCCTCTCGCGTCCGCAGCCCGCTCGGGGCGGCAGCAGCAACAGCGACAGCAGCAGCAGCGGTGGCCCCTGCGCGTCGCCAGCCCGAAGGGAAGCGCTCTGCGCCAGCGGGGCGCACTGAGAGCGCGCAACAAGTGGCCACCCTCAGGCGGCCGTCGGGGCCACCCGGTGTCCCAGCCCCTGGGTGAGGCTGGGTGGGAAACAGAATCCGAGATGCCGAGCTGTGGAGCCGGGTTGGCTTTATGGACCGCACTGAGCCTGCTGCAGGTGAGTGGACGGAGGAGAGGTCTCCGGGTGACGCGTCCCATCCCCACGGAGAACCAAACTCCATTCCACTTTCTGGCCTCCTGGGTTGCAGTTTGGAGAGGGAGCTGGCCGATTTTGTCCTTTTTGTTAGGAAGAAAGATCCTCTTCTGAGCTCCCAGCCAGAATGTCAAAGGCAAAAAAAAAAAAAAAAAAAAGCCACCTTCTTTCTCCTGCTGCTCCGAGAAAAGAGCAGCTAAGGGGAAAGTTGCCACACACCTCCTCCCCGTGGACCTTTTCTCTGCTGGTTGGGCAAAGGGATGGGCTGAGGCTGGGGGCGAAGGCTGAGTGGAAGCGTTGCGGGGAGCCTGCTGTGGAACTGTCCCTGGGCAGCCCAGCCTGTGGGCTTCAGCTGTTGTCTCTGGTTCATTTGCAGACTAGACTGGGAGAGCCAGTGAGATGCAACTTCACCGTGACGGAGTCCAGGGTCTCCAGCCGGTCCGCGTCCATCCAGTGGAGAACTCTGGGGCCTCCCTGCAACTTTAGCCTCATCTACAGCAGTGACACACCAGGGTTCACGAGGTGCCACCCCGTGAGGATAGACACCACCACCTATGAATGTAACCCCGAGGATTTACAAGCCGGAACCGTCTACAACTTCACGATTGTGCCTCTGGACGGAGAAGAAAGAACTGTGGTGTTGCAAACAGGTAAAGGGGCGACAGGTGCGGTTGGATGGCCAGGCCACTCGGGGCTGAGCCCTGCCCGATCAAGCTGATGTTGCACTTGAGTTCCAGGCATGCAGAAAAACCCGTGTTAAAAATACCTGTGAAGATAAACATCCTCAGATCTGGCCAGCAGCCGTTTGGTTCACTTTCAGAAATTTCCTTAGTGCTGAAAACAGTGGACTAGTCGCTTCAAGGGGGGGAAATGCAGTAAAGAGACATTCTGGGCTGTGGAGGGAAATTGTTAAAGTGATGTGGTTTGAGCTCCCATCACATTAAATTGTCAAGCCCTGGAATAATGTTAAGTAAATGTTTTTAGAAAAAATAATCGAAGTGCAGTAATTAGGGATATGCCTTTCCTCAACGTAGTTTTATTTTTGGAACCAGAATATAAAATCATCAGGAGTAGAATAGACCCATTCAGAGGAGAAAATTGAAAAATTCCCTGGAAATGAGGGGACAAAAATTATTTTGTATTATATAACTAAAACAGCCTAGTATCAGAGAACGTTCTTTGGTCACTCTGCTCCTCCAGTCAGTTATTTTTTCTTTACACTTTCAGCAAACCCTTCCATGCATATATGTCTGCTAGTTTGTCTTTTCTGCCTCCGTTTTCTTATCTGTAAAATGGGAGTGTAGACTTGGTCAGTTAGGTCAAGTTCTTACCAAGTGCTAACCACTTAGGCAGGGACTCCCCTGCACACCACCTCATTCCTCCCCGTGCCACCCCCAGATATGTTCTAAATTCCCTAATGACTTTGATGTTTTATGATTTCATTAGTCTTCCTTTTAACATTATCTTTATTTGTTGCAATAGCCTCACTTTCATCTAGAAAGTCCAATTTAAAATTCCAGAGATTAAATTTAGAAATGTGTTGTCCTTACTATTCTTTCATGGACAGCCTGAACAAAGTTCGCTTCTCAGCTTCAGTTTTTTAAAGAGGTGTGAGAACTTTCCATTCCCAGGATCGGAAATGGAACTGGGTTCATGTAATAAGTCAATCAAATATTAATTCTCTTATTTTTCAAAGAAAAAAATTGAGTACCCAGTTGTATCACCTGACTTACTTCAGATGAAACTTTTAGATAATTTCTGAGATTAGCAAGAACAAGTTGAAAAGAGATACCAGTTGTTAAACATTTATTTATGTTTTTATGTGGAATCAAAGAGCCTGAAATCAACCATGCAATTGCAACATTTTCCAGAAATTTAAGCAGCGGGACTTTTAATCATGAAGGTGTTGGTTTCTTGGTATGTGAGCATAGTTTAGTGAGCACTCAGATTGCTAATACTGTGAAATGTTATGACCATAGAGCTTCTAGATGTGTTCATTATATTTGATAAGGTATATGTGCAGAATAAATGGAGCAGGTGATTTTTAAAAACAGGCAAGCCTTCAGAAGTTTATGAGAGAAAGGATGAAGACATTCATAAGCCAGTATATAGACATTTACTCAGAGGTTTTACCTTTTTGGTAATTTAAAAAAAATTTTTTTTAAGTTTTTATTTTATTTATTTTTAGAGAGAGGGGAAGGGAGGGAGAAAGAGAGGGAGAGAAACATCAGTGTGTGGTTGCCTCTCATGTGGCCCTCATTGGGGACCTGGCCCACAACCCAGGCATGTGCCCTGACTGGGAGTCAAACCAACAACCCTCTGGTTCGCAATGCTCAATCCACTGAGCTACACCAGCCAGGGCACAGGTTTTACTTTTGGGGGAAGAAAAAAAAGTTGACAGAAAAGCACTTAGTGTGGGTGTTACTAGTTAAAATGCCATTTGAGTTTAATTGTGCGTGTAAGTGTTTCAAGTCCAGAGATATTTGTGAAATGTAAGAAATACTTGCATTTTATTAACTATCTTGAATTCAATAAAAAAGAGACCTCATCAGCATTCACAATGTGTTGGCATTCAGGTTCTCATCATTTTTCTTAAGGAATTCCTTTTACAGTACCACTGATACACTTTATACCACAAGTTTTATAAGCTTTATGATAAATGTGAAGAATGAAACTTGCAGGTGATGTTTGTATAATGGTAATTTCTTCCACACTTATTTGTATGATGGTATAACTCTTCTTAGGATTCTCTACGCTTTAAAATAATTTTATTTAAACTAAGATTTTTTTAAATGTTTAAGGGAGGATTTTTCTGTCAGTTGTTTATTTTTTGTCATTACTGCCGTCTATATTTTAAGGAAATGTGTGAATTTTTCATTTATTTAAGAGAAAGGACCAGTATTCCTCTACGTTAATTGCTAAGCAGCAGAGATAAGATCCACAAATTATATTTTAGTGTATTAAAACATGACCAAGTAGTAATATAATATTAACCCTGAGATACAGCTTCAAACAGAAAAGTCAAAGTGTGTTGTGCCTTCCTTGTGCCAATTTGCCTGTCTTGGTGGCCTAGAATAAGAGCAAGACATGATTTGGCTGGAGATATGACGGCTGCTTAGGTTCTCTGTGTCATTCCAAGTGTGATTTGTCTGATTGTTGTTCCTGATAACTTTTCTAAAATAACCAGTCATTTTGGTGTCATGTAGACATGACCTTAAAGATCAAAATTTTAAATGAATGGGAGCTATTTTAGCAACAATCAACTTTCACTCCAGCTTTTAAATCAGAATCAAAAAATATATATGTGTATATTCCAACTCAGTTCAGCAAATTTTTATTAGGCTTGGACCCTGCAGTGAATTACACCAGGTGGTGATTGGTGGGCTTATAAAGTTGATGAACAGTACATGGCTCCTGCCCTTGCAGTCCCGTGCAGAGGTGAGGGAAGGTCATGGGGAAGGTGGTGACAGAGCTTTACCACGTCTTTCTGGATGGAGACTTTGCCCTGCCTCCTGTATGAGATGCTGTCCTAACCACCGAGGAGGCACTGGGCAGTTCTCAGGTTCCTTTCGCCACTAAATCATCTATGCCACAAATGTAATAGATTCAAAGCCATTTACAAGCTAAATTGTTTAGTTATGGTTGCATCAGAAATCAGACATGAAGAGAACAGATACTGAAAAACTCAGCACTTTTGCAGCACTGCGTCCTCAGCTTAGAGCAGAATCCGAAACCTGGTAGCCCCGAGGGGTGTGAAGTGTCTAAATCATAGACATGTTTTATTTGGCTCACATAGTGTTGTTTATGAAGAATTCAGATGGTTTTTACTAGCATTAAAAAATGGAAAATTCGTATAAAATTCAGATGTGTGGATTCTCTTAAAATATTGGAAGATTTGGCAAAACTGGGCCATCTGTATTCCTAGACCTCTCTAGAGCTGAGTTATGGCTTCTCCCTTTTAGGTACCTATTCATTTGACCACTTCATATTTCCTCAACTGAATGTATCCTAAGGACATTTGAGTTTGTTTAAATAAGACTTTCTAGTTGTCATTTAGGACTTTTGGGAAGCTTTTATCTTTCCAACAATAAGAAGTAGTTTTTTAGTACCTAAAAGAGCATCTAGCACATGCTGCCTGTTCAATAAATATTGATTAAATGGATGGATAGATGAGTGAACGAATGAATGGTTAGTTCTATGCATAGGTAGATAGATGATTAATAGATAAACAAATAAATATTAATGAAGGAAATGAATATTTTGTTGGGAAAATGTACACATACTAAAAATCTGACCTATTCTCCTTGGGTTATGAGTAAGTCATGGAGCCCAGGGAAGCAGATTGTTGGTAGGGAGGGAACTTCACTTACAGGAAGAATATCTTAGTGGCCTATGCCCTCTTGTTAGTCACTTTCATCTACTTACTAATGAGCCAAAAAAAAAAAAATCAGCACTTAGTGCAGTTAATTCCTTTGTCTTTAATAAAAAAGATGTTTCAGAAGCTGTAATTACCAAACCAGCATTCCCGCCATGATTTCCACTTTGCAGTGTTGCTTAGTGTACTGGTTTACTGGGGCTTCCATAGCAAAACACCACAGGCTGAGTGGCTCGAACAACAGAAATTTATTTTCTTATACTTCTGGAGGCTAAAACTGCTAGATCAGGGCGTCAGCAAGTTACTGCTGAGGTTTCTCTGATGGCTGGCGGGTGACCACTTTCTCACTCTGCCCACACGTGGTGCCCCCGTGTGTTAGCTGTGTCCCAGCCTCCTCTTATTAGGACACCAATCATATTGGATTGGGTTCCCCCCAGTGACCCCTTTTAACTCTATTACCTTTTTAAAGGCTTTATCTCCAAATACAGTAACATTCCGAAGTGCTGGGGGTTAAAGTTTCAACGTACAAGTTTTTGAGTGGCACAATTCAGCCCATACCACATATAGCTTTAAATATAGGCCATTAGTTCTCAATAATGTCTGTAAGCTATTTGCATCAAAATCTCTTGCAGAGCATGTTATAAAGGCATTTTCTTGGTTTCTACCCAACATGTAATGAATTTAGAAAAAATGGAGCCTGGGTAATCTGATTTTAAAGAAATATCAAAGTGAGTCTGTGCACACTGAAGTTGAAGAGCTATTGAAGTAGTTTTTCTATTTTTCACTGGCATTAAAATTTTGATATCATTTCTTTTTATGGTCAAATCTGTGTAAATAAGGTGAACATTATACTGACCACATATTGTCTAGTTTTATCCTCGTGGAGGCTGAAACTCCCCCGGCCCTCCCCTGTGGCAGGAGTTTTGTGAAAGCACAGGCTGCACAGTGGTGAGGAGTTGAATTCTGAAAGCTGCTGCCTCCATCACTTACTAGCCAAGTTGCCTTGGGCAAGTTATTAACCTCTCCCAGCCTGCTTCCTAATGTATAAAATGGGGGTGATAATAAAAATATTGCCTTCTCCACAGGATCTTTTGAGGTTTTAAATGGTTCATACACACTAAGTGTGTCATAAATTTACTATTATTAACTTTCGAGTTGAAAATGAGATTGACATTTATAAGCATTAACATCACTAATCCATACAGCTAATATAGGATAGGCGTAAAATTTGAACCCTGGGTTTACTGCATTCAACTTCAATTCTTTCCACTACTC